GGAGGAGGAGGAGGAGGAGGAGCAGGAGGAGGAGCGAGGAGGGGGAAGAAGATCAGCAGGAGGAGGAGGACGACGAGGATCGAGGATCGAGCTATCCGGACAGAGGATCGAGGACGATCGAGGCTCCAGGCTCTTTGCGCCTCCCGACAGCCTCGCGCGCGAGCTCCGCGTCGGCGTCCCGCTGCGCCAGCGCCTCCTGCAGCAGCTGCGCCGCCTTCGCCCGGCGGTCCGCCTCGTCCGCGTCCCGCTGCGCGAGCTCCTCGAGGGGGAGCCCAGGCGGATTGACTGATTCCCCCCCCTCGTGGGCGAAGGGCGACGAGGGGGAGGAGGAGCGGGAGGAGGAGGGAGATGACGGCGAGGAGGAGGAGGAGGAGGAGGCGGAGGAGGAGTACGCAGCCTGGGAGGGATCCGTCGCGCGGCGCGCAAACGGCCACCCAAAAACGGGGGGAAGACCGGAGCCCTCCCCCAGGCCTGCACAGGCGCTCACCCCATGCCCACCAAAGGATCTCGGCGGGGTGAGCGGCAGACAAACGAGCTTGGGAAGATTAGAAGCTCAAATTGGTAAAGATAAACGAGTTTATCAATCGAGTTGCAGCCAGTGCACCTCGGGGTCCGAAACTTGGAGCCTCCTCTGTCCTGAAATGGCCTCACGACGACGCAAGTCCGCAGGATGTCGGTTCGTCTGGAACCGATGGATATGGGAGGCCCCTCGTTTACTACATGGAGGAGGGGGACACAAATCAAGCAGCGCAGACGCACCACCCGTGCTGATGGCCCCACACAGTAAGCAGATAACAACCTGGCCAGGAGAGACGTGTAACTCGTGCCCACGAGCGCTCCTGGGTAAGACGTCTCCCGAAACAGGAAGCGGAAACTGCGGCATGACACTCGGTGCGCGAGAACCTCCTCTTGGCCCCAAAACGCGTCTCAGCTTCGGGGGCCGCTCGACAGGAGGGTCGGGCGGAGGAGGGGGCGCCTGGAAGTCGCGCACCGCCTGGTGCAGCGCGCCGTCGTCGGCGGGCGCAAAGCTGACCCCTCTCCCTCTGTCGCGAGGGGGAGGAGCGGAAAGGCGAGCCCGCACCACACGGGCAGGGGAGGGGGAGAGAGGGCGAGCACGCGCAGCAGCAGGACTCGCAGCCGCAGCAGAGGAGGCGGCGGAGGCGGAGGAGGGAGAGGCAGGCCCTGGAGAAACGACGGGAGCACGAGCCCTCGCAGGCTGTGCTCGATCAACATCGAAACTGAAGGATCCCCCCTCCCACGACTCCGACGGCGGCCCAGACTCAACCCTCCGCCCGATCTCATCGTGTAACTGCGCCTCTTGGGCGCTCGTACCATCCAAATCGTGATTTGGCGCGCCGACGCCCTGCTGAAAATTCTGAGATCGAGACTGATGCCTGGCTCTCACCCTTCGGGCAACAGGCGAAGCCAAGCGTGCGCGGACACTGCGAAGTTGCCTCGCCCCCGACGAAGGCGACGGCGGAGACGACCTCGTCCCCCCACCATCTCCATCGCGAGAGTCAGGGACCAAGAGCGGGTCTCCCTCCTCAGGCAGCACGTGCACATTGCTAGTGGCCTCCCTGGAGGCCGTGTCGGACGCACTCTGAAGGATCCTCGCACATAAAGTTATCTTGGCGGGACAGCGGCGACGCGCGAATATCTGTCGCTGCTTATCCGACCGAATGGTCTTAGAGCAGGAGGCGCACCGCCAGCAGAAAACGTGTTGGATCCCAGGGTCGGGCGGAGCCTTGGCGCGAGCGGCAGCAGCCGTCCGAGCCTTTCGTCGCTGCTCAAAACGGTCCTGACCTGGGGCAACCGTTTCACTCATATATCTCGTGTGAGACCTAGCCATCCAGACAAGGGGCTTACGAGTGGCCTTATAAAGCCTCTCCATAAAAACAGCATCCTCCTGCCGAACCGCATGAAGGTCCCTGCCCTGCGTAGCCGCAAAATCGGCCCAGCGATTTCCCCGAGCCTCAAAAGACATGCCTTTCTGATGCCCCGAGACATGCAGGACCTGGAGAGAGGGTCCCAGACCTCCTAAATCCTCAATCCTACGCCATATCTCACACCAGAGGTCACAATTTGGGCGCCTTGACGAGCACCCCCAAGAAGGCCCACGAGCGAAGCCGTCTGGAAGATCCCAGTAATCCGTGTAGATCGTGAGCGGCAACATGGCGACTCTCAAGATCTGCACGACAGCGTAGAGCTCGGCCCTCGGGGATGTCTGACTGGGGCCAGGCAAAGCCCCATACACGCATAGCAATATACTGTGATCTCCGACTTGAGCGAAACCCCAACCTGCCCGAGCGGCCTCGGGCCAATAGTGGTACTTACAGCAGGCCCCGTCCGAGAAGACATGCCCAGTGATCAACTGACAGCCCCCGTACATGGAATGCCAGGTGCAGGAGTCATCTCTAGGTGGAAGCCCAAGGAGAACCGCCCTCGACATCAAACCGCGCGTCCAAAACCACGAAGTAACGGCGGGGTGGGGAAGCACCGACTTGTCATGATCATCGAAGAGATTGGTACGCCCATCTTCGTTGCACGAGCATGTCCAAGGAATGTGAAAGAGGTCTGCTGGTGACGACGAACAAATGGGGCACCCTGGCGAGTCCACGTGCGCGCATGAGTACCTGCGAGCGGGGGTCCACAAACCACCTGTGACCAGGGCTCTCAAGGTGCCTGCCGTCTGCAGAGACAACGAGTATGGCCTATCTGGATCTTCCTCTTGCCGTGCTTTGCCCAAGAGAGAGACCACGGGCTCCAACCAGTACCCACTGGAGGTCTTGGGGGCCAAGGAACAGGTCGTATCACGCTCTCGCCTCCCAGCCCAATCGGACCATAGTCGACGAACGGCTGATTCCCGAGCAAGATCTCGAACAGCAAGTGGTGATGCTTCCCGTAAGTCAAGCACATCCCCACGATCGGTCCGAACAGCGAAAGCCGACGACGAAACCCATTGCAGAGAACGGTAAGCTAGAAGGGTAGCCCCTGTAGGCCCAGCGACTTCACCCCAGGGGTGCTTGGAGGAATATTGTCCGCACCTGCCGTCCCCACGCCATCTGAAGCAAATCGTGCTGAGAGCGATCCCACCATAACAAACTCCATTGAAAAATAGGATCGGTCCAGGCAGCTATCTGGGGGTCCTGTGGACCCCCCCCATGGAGGAAGGATGATATCCACGCCGACCCTGAACGACCAGGTTCGTACCACACACTGCGCATGGCCTTGCGCATGGATTCAATCACCAGGGGGGGAGCACCGTGTGAGCCTACACCGTAGTTGAGCGCAGCAGGTACGGCGGCTTTGGCAAACTTACCAGTCAATGCACCTGCTTTGCGAAGCCGACGAAGCCTGGGAAAACGTCCTGTCATTTTTCGAACCCGAGCCTTCAACCTCATATAACTCAAAGCTCGGCCCGACGTAACTTCAACCCCCAGAACTTCCAAAGCAGAAAGATATCGGCACCCAGATCGCCCCAAGGTACGGCAGACTCGCTTGGCGACGGAAGGGTAGGCGCAAGTCACGGCCATCTTGCGCTTAGCGGGGGCGAGGTCGACGGAGCCCAGAAGATCCACCACCCCCTTCAACATGTAGCACGCGTGCTTGCATATCATGTCCATAGTGGCTTTCACCTGTATGGTCAGATCGTCGGCGTACACGTACAGCGCGCGGTCGATGTGCATCGAGCTACCGTACAGAGAGTCCACTGGGGTAAGAAGAACTAGCTGCAGGATGAACATCGCCATGCTACGCCCTGGAAGTACCCCTCGAGATGCGAGCACTGGCCCCGAGAAAGCCCCTGACCACGACAAGCGACGCTCGTACGAGTACATGCGCAGCGCGAGTGTAACCAGTGCCCCAGGGAAACCGTGCTTGATAGCTGCATGCAAGATCACAGCCCACAAAACTCGATCGAAACACTTCTCTATGTCAACGATGGCGTGCACACAAATCACGTCGTCCATCTGTGCCTTTTTTCTGCGGTGGGTGCGCTTCGCCATGAAGCAGCACCCGCGAGGCAACATCTGTGGTTGCCCTTCCACCAGGTCCTAGTGCAAGAAAAGGCCGTCCCAGACGATTCGCCCAGGAACGTACGTGATCAATTCTGGCCTTAGCCCATACTCGATATAACGAAACCAAGAGAGCGATTGGGCGATACCCTCCAGACGGCTTCTGAAGCAGGATAACATGAACATGCCGAAGGTACCCAGGCCAGGAGGACCAGCATTCACACAGGTAAAATAAATAGCCCAGGAAAGACAGCGCTCCATCTGAAACAAGGGCCCAGTGCTTAGGCCTCCAGGTATCAGCACCTACAGCGGCCCCAGCAGGAAACGCCTTGGCGGCCTTGCGAAGTGCCGCGATGCCCATCGGAGGTAAACGAGGACCCAAGTCTCTGAGCTGATCGAGGTCAGCCTGCAGTTGCTCAAAGGCAGCTGGCGAAGACCCACCCTCCCAGATATCAGCCCAGAAATCCTTCTGACAATTGGCGACGTCGTCTGCGTGACTCGAGGGGCCTAGGTCCGCGTGGACTTGTGAGAGCTGCCACCCTCGAGGTTTCGTCCAGCAGTGAACGGGCTTGGGTCTGCTACTCAGGCAGTCCCGAAGCCATTTGACGAAGCCCTGACCTCGTGCCTGCCCAAGCCGCCGCCCATCAGCAGCAGCACGTTGGGAGAGAACAGCAGCAAGGGCGCGCAGGAAGACGACGTGGTACGCCGACGGCTGCGCGAAGAAACAAGTGATGTAGTAGACGGCCTCGTCGAGCTCGTTGGCGTCCAGAGCTGCCGCGAGGCGTCGTAGCCTGCCGTGGCCTCCAACGAAGTCCAGCAGCGGCTGCCACGTCGCAACGTGTCGCTCCATAGGCACAGGCCCATGTTTGGCCACCAGGTGAGCCAGGTCCTCCACGCGGTGCTGCAACGTGCGCAGCGCGCGGGTCCGAGCCGTGCCCGCGGGCTGATGATGAGACAGAGCTCCGCCAGCGGTGGTCTTGCGGTATGTGACCTCGAAGCCCCTGCCCTGATACTTGTGGTACTCCGAGCAGTCGAAGAGCGGCGCCAGCCCCTTCTCAACTCCAGAGTAAAGCTGTTGGCAGACAACATCGAGACGTCTGTCACGCGATCGAGGGTCGCCAGGCCCGAGTGCCGCATCATCCCGCATCTTACTGACCCAGTCGATTCCAGGATCGCCGAGGGGCACCAAACCGTCGCCCTCGTCAGAGTCCTCAGCCAGACGAGGCTGCCGTGCAGGCTTACCTGG